CTTGTACTTCGGAGCATTTTCTGCCTTGGATCTGGCTAAGATCCAAGACCATAATTAATCTGAGCTGCCCACAAGTGGCCTTGCTTCAAATTTGAGCCGCATAGCTTGCCTTTTTCAATTCCGGGTGCATTTGGCCTCAGTTTTTGGCCGAATGCACAATTTTGTTTCTTTTTTTCTTTTGCTTCTTTCCCTTTCGGGCTGCCAACTCATTCCGGAGTTGGCCGTTTGAGTTGGCACCACAAAAAACGGCCATATCATCTCTTCCATGGATCTGAATCTCAAATTTATGGCCAAAAAAAAAAAAATGGTTTGCGATTTCTCTTATTTGTCCCTTTTTACTTCAGATTTTGTCGAGATATTGCCCCAAGGGCCTTATCTCCTCACTCCAGAATGACCTCCACTAAATCCGGAGATATTTCCCGTTCCTACTGTGTCAGTCCCAACTGACCGTTCATTTTCTCTCCACCTTTTTCTACTCCTTCGTCTCATTCCTCCTTTTTCTCCCCTTTTTCTTTTCTTTTCTTTATTTCAGATGTGACAAGTGTGAAGCAACTGTATACCCTTTTTCCAGGCCATGGATCTTGATCTAAATCTACATCAAGTTCTTGTCTCTTATTTCTGGGATTACAATAATGACACCCCCCCATTTTCATAGGGTTCCATTTTGCCTCCGTTAATCTCAATTTGCGGTCCTCCTTACCCCAATTTTTCGTTGGAAGCCTTTTTGTTGCATAGGGTCTCCCAAGGCTCTATTTTCTCTTGCTTGGTCGGTCCGAGATATCTCAGACTGCCATACAGGTCGTCCTTCCTCATTTCTTTTCTTTTTTGCCTTTGAAACCTCCTCACTTTGGCCGTACTAATGCTTGCACTTGTAGTGCTAAAATTTGTTTTGATTGTCCAGTCCTCATGTCGGTCCACAATTCCCTTGGGACAACTCAAGTCCCCGTCACTCATCCTACACTAGTCCCACCGGTGGTTCCGTCAGCATAGGTCCCTATTATTGATTATTTTATTTGGGCCTATCTAGTCCCCGATCATTATCACCCGCGTTGTTCCATTTTTATTTGGTACTCCCTAATCCTCGTCAATCCCAATCTCCCCTACCCAAGTATCTTAAGCCTGGCGAATATTCCCGGACGCTAAATCTTCATCTCACGGTTGCCATTGTCGTCGTCACTTGCTTCATGCTTGAAACACCTTTCTCTAGTGTATTTTTCCCTTGGCCTAGGCACCCCCTTGCAGACCACTAAATCTCAAAGTGCAACGGTGGTCATTTTCCTAGTTTCATTGCCCCCAAACTTGGCCCAAACTCAAGAAAAAAAATGAGGCAGCGCATTTTCAAGTGCATTCGTACTCAATGTTGGCTCCGAGCGTACTTGAAACATGTGTTTGTTTTACTTTTTCTGGTCCGTTGCATCATGGACCATGCCCCTCTTAACCGATTCATCCTAGGATGAATTCGGTCACAAAATGTACTTAGAACATGTGTCTGCTTTTCTACTAGGTGATTGTTTTTGATCGTTAATGGGCCTTTTTCTTTTTCTTTCTTTTCTACTAAATCCGAACCCAGCTATGGTTGTCGTACACTCGTTGCCCTACAACGCCCCTCTCACCCCATAGCGCCAGCGTGCGCCCCAGCCAGCAACGTGAATGCAGACACTTGCACAGCAACACAACTGCGTATCCACATTGCCTGCCTAGGCCAGAATAACCTCAGCTTGGCCAGCGACCTTCCTATATGGAAGTTACGGCCATGTTTGGCTATGTGGGTATGGATGGCTGAGGAAGTTCCCAATAGCTTCCGATCAGGCCCCCGTGTCGCGTCCAGACACAATTGGGGCCATGGGCCCTTTCTGGTTGGGCACTTCCAAGCAGCCTCCAGGCTCCACGTGTTTGTCGTCTTCTCATTGGCTCGCTGGGCCTCTATGATGACAATGCTGCTTTCTGATTCGACAGTGGCCACTTCGTGATATGTCAGCCTCACACTTCATGTGCCCCTCTCACCCCATAGCGCCAGCGTTGTCCTACTTTTCCCTATTGGGCCTCTTTGGGCGACCGGAAAGCCAACAGGCTGTCAAGCAGGATTTTGAATGATGTTTGCAATAAATAAAATAAATTAATTAAAGCAAATCCCTTCCTGTTGTGTACATCCGGCTTCAAGCGAGACCCTTCATTTGCAATCTTCGTCGGTCCCCGGTCTTAGGAATCTTTTATTTTGATTCGGAGCAGCAAGGAATCATGCAAATAATGATCATAAAATTCCGGTATGTCATGCATGCATCAATTTTGCCAATTTTCTAATTTTGAGAACTGTGACAAGATCATCAAAAGCATAATCATCAAGCAGAGTCGATGCAAAAAAAGCAAGACTGACTGACTCGAGCAATGACAAGATAACTGAGGGAAGAATGAAAACTCATAATAATCTTAGAGAGTACATATGAAGAGAGCATGGCCAACACGAGTCAGGAATCCTCACTCATCCCTCTGCGTCATACACTCAATCTCTCACTTGGCTGCATGTTTCTTGTGCCTTGAGCCATGTCTCCGTACTCCCTGAGGTTGTGGTCTCTGGATGTAGAGCCACCTAAACCATGCAAGTTCCAGCATTTCCATCTGAGTCCTATAATACGGAAATCAACCATAGCACAAAACTCCTCCAATAGGGTAGGAAAATATGGTTGAGAGAAGATCCCTCGTATGAGATGCCGAAACTCTGACGGCTCAGACACTGCCTCATAGTCAATCATTGCACGTGAAACGTACCTCTTGGCCAGGTCCACCAAGTCACCCCAATCAGAACCGTCGGTTAGAGTGAAGGGTACTAGAGGCCTGGGATAATCAGTGTAGAGCTTCGGTCCAAAGCTTTGGATCAGCTTGGTACCACTCTCATCGAGCTCTCTCTCGAGGTATTTGACTGCCAAGATCCAGGCTGAGTCAAAGTGTTCATGAGTCTCTTTACCCTTCTTTACATAGGGTCTCAGATCATAGATGGTGTCGCCTGCAAAACTAGTGAGGACAACGAAGATCGACAGGTCCTCTCTTCTGAAACCCATCCTTGAGAGCAATCTGATTGAGGCTGGTCAAAATTGACCCTGCAACTAAGAATGACTGAAGTGCACTCATGTGAATGACGACAATTGTTGTGCTCTGATGGTCTCGCTGATTCTCTTGATTGTCCCAGTAACGTGACTAAGTTGATTGCTGCTCGCGATCTGATAGTGTACTGTGTTTCTGATTAAAGCCAGCTCATCTTCCGGTCCCTAATGATAAGATGTAACTTGTTCCAATGTTATCTCACTCGTCTCTCCTAGTTTGCTTTTGCCGAACGTTCACAGGTTCCTTTTGAAGTGCGACCAGATCACTTCACTATTCACCAGCAATAACCCTCCTTGCATGCTCAACAAGTCCTGCGATTGAGAGGGTGTTGTGTAGTTTCCCATTTGATCCATGGATGTAGGTGTACTCAACAAATTCCTGGTCCTTCACTAGCGCTAAAGTCTGTTCCATGATGAGTTTTAAGTGAAAATGGTGATCTCGGGCCACACCTTCTTCCCAACCTTCGGCCACATCGCGGTGCAGAGTTCAAGTCACTCTCAGCACGTTCTCACTCCGTATCTCCCTACAAAGGCCCATCGCATTGGAAAAGGTCAGACTGCACTCATGTGTTGCAGTGAATGTCGAAAGCTGATTTTATGTCTTCTGATGTGGGCGCTATCTGAGTGACACTAAACTCCGTATCTAATGGAAGTAATTAAACACTGATAACTTCTGACGGAAAACCCTTGAATAACACGAACGACGAAGATGCTGTTTGAGAGTTCGTCGAGAACGGACAGAATGTTGGTTAGTTCACTGACGAAGTTTGCTGATGCACTTGTGCATTTGATTATTCTTCGCAAGGATAGTTTAGTCTCTTTAGTACCAGACTGTGCCAAGTGTTCCTAACTGCTTCTTCCCACTTACCTCTGTTGTCCAGATGGAGAGCACAGTCAACGACTTCTCTCCTCGACCCACGAGGCTTTCACCGCAGCTAACCTGGGTATAATGGATTGTTGGCTTTGGTGAACGGGACAAATTGCCCGTGATCTGAGTGCCTACTAGCCGACCACCACCAAGTTTGATCACGGACGATCAGCGAGCTAGTGCACTGCAATTCTCCCGATGCCAACTTCTCAGCACTCACTTTTCCCCTCTGAAATCCTGGTTGAGCTGCCTACCACGCCCCTCTTCGTGAGATAAGCGGTCAAGTACCATGAACAACAGTTCACACTTCTAACCATACATTACGTATCTTCAATGGTGATCTGTCCCTCGCCCACTACTGATGATTCTACGAGTAGCTCTTCTCACTCGGATATTAAGTGCCTCACGCCTGAGCACAAAACTAGAGAAAAAACTTGTACTAGTAGTAAACAGCCATTCCCACATAAGTCTATTGACTCAGAACAGCAGCAACAGTTCTCCGTGTGGGCAATTGTAGATCTCAAATCAGCTGAGGCGAACCCCTAGCTTAGTTTAGTATATAATACAATTTTCTGACAAGGGAAGATTACCTGGCGCGAACATAACCAGTTTCTCAGGGATGGTGACTTGCAATCACCTTTGATCAAGTACCGAGTTCGGACCCTGGATTAAACCCCAGGTGACAGTTACACAGTCCCACAAGCTCAAGTCACTTTGAGTCAGCATCTGGGTTCGAACTGGCAGTAGACTTCTGACCGAACAAGCACGGTATGCCGTCAGCAATGAGGCTTATCCAAGCAAGCGTTTAAATGCTATTAACCAGGGACAACGCTCAGAGATTGCTGAAGTCGCCTAGTTGTACATGCATGAGATACAAACCTCACGAACTTAATAGAGAGGGCGGAAGTTGTCACGAGGAACTAGTAATAATCCGCCCCGCATTAGCAGTCGCGAACTCGCTTACTTCAACCCCGATCCAATGGAACATTTCTCGTAATAATCCGCCCCGCATTAGCAGTCGCAAACTCGCTTACTTCAACCCCGATCCAATGGAACATTTCTCGTAACATGAGCTGTTTCTCACGAGTGCTTACAAGCGGTGAACGAAAGAACCATCTTTAGTGAAACGCACTTGGAGCATTGGTGGCAGTAGGCCACACTATGGCGCCAACGTGGAGAGGACTGGTCCCTCATGCGTACAGCTCAGGTGGTGCTGCCAAGCACTGCTCCTAGGCGGGTTGTACACGATACACTGAGGAATCACTCGGCTGCTCGAGTACTGAGCGGGGTGTAATTCGTACAACCACTCGTGTACAACTCGTACGGCCCATCCGGGGTTACGATCTTTTATCTGATCGACCCCACTGAGGCAGGATTCACATGAGCCTAATATGCGACATCCACCTCTACGCCCAGTACTTAATTCAACGGTGTGAGGGTTGTCCCTGCTCGTTAATTTTCCCGTCTGAACCTCATGTTCGATTTAGTTTGCCAGAGTGTAATTAAACAAGGCATTAGACCCGGTTGAGAGGCAGCTCGGAGTTCAAGACATGTTCATGAAAGTCCGAAAAAACCTAAGAGCAAGATGAGTCTGTACTCAGCTCAGCAGTTTTGAGTGCTCTCAGCCGAGGCTCAAGACAGAACAAACTCAAGATGTGACTTGTGTCATTTCCTCATTTGAGAGTTCGGGCAAAAACACAGCATACCATAACTTGCAATCTCATCTACTGCACGTGCTCTCACACAAGTTGATATCAGGCAGGAAGTTTTACTCACAATCAGGCTGCGATCAATCATGCCTCAAGTTAATCCAGGAAAGGGGTGACGATAATTACCCCCTTTGTGAACCCGCTCTTTACTCTTTTCCAGTGGACTAATACATCTCCGATAATTAACTTTCAACCGAGTTCAAGTAGGACGAGGTTTGCTAGTCCACATCAAGCAAGTACTTAGACAACAGGTAGGCTATCTTCGCACCACAGACTGCCCGACAATAAGAAGTGATAACGAGCTTCTGGAGTCGCACTCGAACTGGGTTGTTTCCAAGGCCAGCTCGTGCAGTCTCCTTGATCACTTGTTCTCTCCTTCGCCCACATACAACTCTAAGGACTTATTTTTAAAAGATCTCAAAGTGATTAAGCCAACAGATTTACAAAAGTGACCCTGCCAGAACATACAGATCTCTCAGGAGTTGCTTTGCTGACAAACAAAACTCAAAGGAATACACAGGAAACACAACCTTTACAATTGTCTCAGTTATGCCCGATGGGGCGGCCATTCGGTTCCAATTATTATCACCCGCTTTCGGGTAAGTTACAATCACTGTCGTTCTCAAGCTAACTGCATCAACTTTGGGTAACACCTAGGCATCACTCCTATCGAACACTAAAGTGAGAGACAGTCACGGACTGCTTACATTAACGCTGCTTAATCATGGTCACGCTCACAGGCTTACAACTTACAATGCGAATGTGGTTTACCAGTATAGTCAACAACTGTTTCTCTCACAATTCATACGATAGACGTGGAAAACACTATCAGTGTTAATCAAGGACTCGCATGTAACCTTGCCCAACGCCGCGACTCACCGCCTCTTCTTCCCTACTAAGGAAGGCGATTCACATAATAAGGGGACAGGTGAAGTCAATTAGCTTCTTGCATACCCTTGAGAGTAGAACTAAATTCTTCTGTTCGTAACTTCGTGCCCCAACCGCCCTCTTGCAGGTACTTCCAATGTACTAAGAGCTTTTGCAACAGCCACTGCGTTGCTAGAAGCAGGGTCAGTCGATGGTTACCTGCAGATGGCTTCGTTCGTTCACGTGGAGCTCATAGTTGGCCAGCGTGTCGTTTGGTACACTCAGTACGCAAGTTGGCTGGGCAGTCGGGATTCAATGATATCAATAAAGGGCTCAAGTGTGGTCTCCTTAAAATCTGGCTCCTAGAGTTCTCATATTTAGCCCATGCCCAATGAAAAGCAAGGGGTGCAATACACGGGAGTTTGTAGTTACTTCACTTCATCACGAGAACGATAAAGAACATCGTCGTCACACGGTTCCTGACTAGCAAGCACACTCCCCCATCTCACATCGCTGCTTGTGTCTCGCTCAAATCTCAACACTCTCACTCTTCCACTCCCCACAACTCATCCGGAGGTGACGTCAGCAGAAGCTTCCCTCAAGTCCGATTCTTCCCTCTCAAATGTTTCGCTGACGCCTCATACCCACACACCTCGCCTTCGCAAGCGCACATCACCTCTATGACTCCCACTTAACCTGTACCCGCTTCACACGCTCGTTAGTCTAATCACCGTGTGCCAACCCCGTTTAGTAACAGTCGACTTCAACAATGGAGCCGCTCGTGCAGCTCCCTTGAGTAAGTCTGATTTTTGTGCTCTCTCTCCGTCCCTTATCACTACTAGTACACCTCACTTACGGCGTCACGCCTCGCCACATCGTCTTTGACCATAGCCCTCTTCGAGTTGAACGACCTCACGCGCTGGTATAATTCGCAGTCATAAATAGAGGTGGTCTCGGAGACAGGTGAGGGTGGGCTTGTCACTCGTTTACGCGAAGCTGCCAGGCAGGAAAAGCAATGCCAACTTCTAGAGTTTTCGCGTAATCATGCTCCTTTTTTTTTCTTGCAGTAACCAGCGATTTCTCGCTGCAAGTGCACGAAACCGCTGACTACTGCGGCGATGAAGAGATCAGTGATGTCATCAGAAAACTTATTCCACTGTCTCGCGCACAAATAGGAGATCCCTTTTGCTCTCATGAATGCCCAGTGACGTCGTCAGAAATCTTATTCCACTGTCTCGCGCACAAATAGGAGATCCCTTTTGCTCTCATGTCTGTCCCCGCAGCTAGTAGCAGCCCCTTGGACGTTAATTGGACATTCTCTCGCAGCTCGCAGGCCACTGCTACTCCCTTCCACCTGCCATATCGTGCGACGTACCAACTAGGGGAGGAAGGTGTCATCAACAGAAAACCTCTCCTCCCTCTCCAAGAAAAGTCCAACTTCCCTCCTCCTCCGTACGCTCACACACACTCCGCGTAGCTGGCCCCGCGCCTCTACCGCCTCGCTGCCTCAATCTGTTCGCTGGGCCGTACTGGCCTCAGGGTAGTCCTCTACGGGTTCCATTGGCGGGTGCTCTCTCCTCCACTGCTCCAGCCCATGCCAGGACCGCGTCTCCACTTCGCTCATGTCCCTCTCACCCCCGGAGTCCCTGTCCAGATGGGCTTGCTCTCGGTCCACTGTATCAGTAGAGGTCTATGCCTCGTGGTAGGCCACGGTTACCTGCATTTCTGCTGACACGCCGTCCCTTCTGCAGCGTCTCTTTGCACGGTCCTCGGCCTCGGTGACTGCTGTCTGCAACTTTGGATTAGCTGTCATCTCTTCTTCCTTAGCTCCCTCTATGTTAATTTTTAACTTGACCTCGTCTCCCCTGTCGTAGTTGACCATTGCGGTAATCCAAGGCCCTTCCCCGGACATTGGCCTCCAGTGAGTCAGGAGGTTCCAACAGTCCGGCCTGTAGCCATGCAGGGCCATCGCTTCCTATCTCCAATAGCCAAAACCCCTACTAACAGACCCTGTGTGATACTAGGCTTACAGGCCCAAAAAAGCTAGGACTGAACATGCAGGGCAGGCACACACAAATCAAGTCACGCGCCCACTTTGCCGCCCAGCTCTCCCTCTCAGACTCACCCGTGCTCAGCGTAACGGGAACTGCCCACATCCAAATAGCCAACGACGTATCTCCCCCACCTTTTATAGGGTCGCTACTCTCTGCGATCCTCATGTTTTGAGCGAGGGATCCGATTCGACTGACACTAAAAACTCTAAATATTAATAATTAGGACTTAGGAAATTATTAAAACAGTTAAAAGAACAAAAAGGAGGGTGCGAGGCCGCACCCCAACGGTCATATTACCCGCAGTGCTCTCTGCCGTCCATCGCGGCCCTTTCGTTTCTGAAGTGACGCTCAGCTGGTGCGGCGGTCCCATAACGGGATACCACGCGACATTTCAGTTCCCTCATAAATCGTTTAAGGGCTACCACTAATGGGTACTCGTCTCCGGTGGTAAGGAGGGGGCTTATGACCTCCCACCGGGGGGTGATAGGCTTCCTACCGAAGCGGCTGCGGGTTACCCCCTCTTTTGGGGTCCCACTACGCGGTACTCAGCCAAACAATCCAGCCTCAGGGTGAAAACCGGGGGGTGATAGGCTTCCTACCGAAGCGGCTGCAGGTTACCCCCTCTTTTGGGTTCCCACTACGCGGTACTCAGCCAAACAATCCAGCCTCAGGGTGAAAAGTGAAGGGTCGGGCCCGTCTAGACCATCAGACGGTGGCCACAGCTCGAAATAGAACAGTTGCCCCCCCCATGAAATGACATGCCGAAAGGACCTGAAGAAAACTTAGTAATAATAACAATAACAGCAGTAATAGAAATAGTAATAGGAAGAAATCTATAACGCCACTGCGCCCTAAAACCGCTAAATCTTCTCAAGCTAAAGCGGAGGTCCAGATCAGCGCACGGGTCGGGCACATAATCCCTTTTTGTTTTGCTTTTTACTCCCCTTTTCCCCTCGTTTCCTAATCCCCTTTTGCTTGACAACGATAGCAACCTTGTGCATCTATCCCATAACCCCACTAGGAGACACTCGGCCCGCAGTAGAAAGGAACACCCTGCTCCCTCTACCCTTGCGCCCCTGGGCGAGCCCGGCAGCTACCACAGCCACAGGCCGGTAGTGCCCTGCTGCACAGCAGGGCGGCGCGCCTGCGTGGACCAAGGGAAAGCCCAGTGGCGCACCCCCAAACTTTTGCTAAGTTGAACGCCAACTGGACTGGTCCGTAGCAGGTTACAACCTGGGTATACCAAGTGAACCGCGGAGGTTCGGGAACAGCCCGACGGCCACGGACGTCTGAACAAGGAGCTGGTACTGAGCGGGAGTCTGGCACACAGAAGGGCCGGAACACCGAGCCCTCCGACAGTATGGGCCCCAGCCAGCAGCATGAATGCAGACACTTGCGCAACAACGCAACTAAGTGTCCACACTGCCTGCCTAGGCCAGAATAACCTCAGCTAGGCCAGCGACCTTCCTATATGGAAGTTGCAGCCCAGTTTGGCTATGTGGGCCTGGCTGAGGAAGCTCCCAGTAGCTTCCGATCGGGCCCTAGTGTCTGCGTCCAGGCACAACTGGGGGGCATGGGCCCTTTCTGGTTGGGCACTTCCAAGCAGCCTCGAGGCTCCAAGTGTTTGTCGTCTTCTCATTGGCTCGCTGGGCCTTTGTGATGACAATGCTGCGTTCTGATTCGAAAGTGGCCACTTCATGATATGTCGGCCTCACACTTCATGTGCCCGTGCCGCAACCACCCGACCCT